ACTGGAAGTGGAGTATCTATTACATATGAGTGCTCCAGGCATCTATTTCCCATTCTTTAGGGCATTTTCCCATTCAGCACCCTGTGCTGAAGTGGAAAGGCAAAGGAGCAGTGACAGGAGACATCACAGCAAGCCTCTGCTTTCCAGGTGAATGGGAAGCAGAATATCTGGGTTCCATTTTTGTTTTGGTTTGTGTTTGTTTGGGGTTTTGTTTGGTTGGTTTTGGAAAAACAGTTCAATTTCATTCAACAGCCTCATTTGCTTGTGTTGCACCATGCAAAGTGCTGTGTTGACATCTCAATTCACAAGAAGAGACTAAAAGGAAGATGACTACTTTTTCTTTTTCCTGCAAAGTGTCCCTGGGGTTTGCCTCTTTTCCCTCCTCTGTCCCACCCTCTTTTAGTCCCTTTTCCACCACATTTAGCCATCTTCCAGCTGAGGAGGGTTTGTTGATTGTCCTCTAAGCAGGCTTGGCAGGATTTCTACCTCGTGAGGCTGCTGTTTTCACAGCCTGTCTCTGTGTTCTGCAGCACACTGGGTTACTTTGGCTTTGTAGCTGCACATCACAGACGCTCATTGTTCACTATCTGTTGCATTGTCTCCCTTAATTCCCACAGGCAGAGCCTGCATGCAGCACGTACATGTTTCCGGGCAGAGTGTTTGCTCTCTCTCTCTCTCTCCCCTCCTCTCCCCAGGGCACAGAAAGCTGTGTGCTTTCTGCCTGCCTGTCTTTAGACACCCCCTCCAAACGCAAAGCAATAGGATCCCCTTTACTGCCTCAGCCTACCCGACTCCTGCTGCAAGGTCAGCGTCAGTCAGGCATAAAGCACATCTACAAAGTCTGTACCAGCCTGAGAGTCTGTGCTGGGAGCCCCAAGGATTTAGATGCTTAACTTCAGGCAGTCAAAAGGGACCCATTTTCCAGAATGTGGATGCTCATCCACTTCCAGACCCCAGAGCTAATCTGCAGTGCTGAATGCTGACCACAAGAAAGCAGGCATGCCAAGTCATTCCTCCTCCCACCTTCCTTTTAATAATCTTAGCATAAATTCACAAGGATGGGAGCTGGAAAAGTCTCTGCTAATCCAGGCTCCATCCCCAGTTAGCACTCCAAAAAGGCTTAGAGGGATTCCATTGCAGGCCATAAACACTGGCCCATGTCAGTCACCCCCCTCTGCCACTGTTTGTGCTGTTGTTTGAGATACAGACAGCATTCAAAGCAAGTGATTGAAGATTAGCAAATCCCGCTTCTTAAGGAAGCAAGAAAGTCAAATATTAGGGAAATAAAAGGAGACAAGATTCCGTAGGAGCTGTGATCTCATCTGGCGAGAAGCCACCACAAAGCTGAAAAGTTCTGCTTCAGCACTTGTCACGTCTGGTTTCCTCCAGCCTCCCTGCTGCTCTTACATCTCCTCCACCCCACTTCTCCCTCTTGCTGTAAGGAACAGGAATCTCTGTTTGAGCAGGAAACCCTTGCTCACCTGGAACCAGCACACAGGAAAGTGCAAGGCTGTGAGCAGCCCTCAAAGAAACACCCATCTGTTAATGGCAACGTGCTGCAAGGTGCCCAGGGATCGGGAACGGGTCCCAGTGCCCAGCAGGGCAGGGAGGCTGGTAACAGGAGTCAGCACAGCAGCTGAATTCACAGGCAGACTCCCACCTGCTGAGCCTCCTGTACAATTCTCAGACATCATTCACAACTTTCTTGGACTCAGCAGTGACACATCTCTGCTGCTGCAGAAGGTGCTCGTGCTGTGCTGAGCCTGTGGCTTCCCAGGCCAAGGAGAACCTGCTTTTGAGCCTCCACGAGTGAGATCTTGGGCTTCCCTCAGCATCCTGGCTCTGGCCACTGTCACTCCACTGAGTCAGAGCAGATGGGCAGGCAAAGGTCTCAGGGTGAGAGAAAATTTCCCCATCTGTGTCTCTAGATATCAAGAGCTACTGTTAGTCACCTAATTAACCACTGCCTCCCCTCTGCCTTTCCACCCTATGAATCCACTCCAGCCCTTCCCCACTCCCACCAGTCGGGTCTCACATTACAGCAGTCACCCACCTTGACAGTCATGAAACAAAGCACTTAAAGCAGGTGCACTTCAGTGAGTGTGGTAGATTGATTTACTGTAAAGGAGAATCCGGTCCACAGAGCAGCAGTTCTGAGCAGTGCAGAAGTTTCCCTGGACACCACCTCAGTTTGTCTGGCTCTCCAGCTCATGGATGCCTGGAACATTCCTCTAACAGGTTTGTTATTGGCAGAAAAGACTGGAGTGGGTCTTTTGAGCAGTGCAGATCAACTGGGAGAACTCCCTACTCTCCACAGAGTGGGGTCACACAACAAGCTGCAAGTGTGCTGACAGAAAACACTGGAGCTGCTCTGCAGAGCCAGGATCCTCCCTCAGCTGCCTCAGGGCAGTGTTTACAGGGTCTCTGGGTGAGCGTGGGCCCCCAAGGTTTGGCTAAGAGCTGTCCAAGAACTGAACAGTATTTTGCAGGAAAAACTCAAAGGGGGAGATCTTTCATTACCAAAGAACTGCTGAAATTAGTGAGGACTTAAATAGGGGCGGGTCCAGCTCAAAGCAAGGTAGTTTTGAAAAAGCTACCCAGAATATGTACCTATTTAACATAAACCCACCTATTTCTGTCTTCCAGGGCGTGAAAGAACATATTTGTGCTGTATCTACAATCTCCCTGGTGTTTCTAGTCAGCTGGAGCAATAAATTTAATCTGATGTGAATGTGTTTTTTTAATGAACCACAATGGCTGGCATAGAGCAACTAATCCCCAGGGACACCAAAATATGCTCCACAAATTCGTGCCTCGGTCCTGCAGAGACACAGATGCCCATATGGACAACTTCCTATGCATGCACTGTCCCGTGGAGTTCAGCAGAATTTTTCCCCCTGCATTGGCTGAAGTCCTCTCCAGGGATTTTCTTGGTCTGGAAGGCGTGAGGAAAAGGGGAGTATTCAGCTATCCCACCTTGGCCCTCACATTTCTTCTGACTTCTTCTGAGAGCTCGGTGGGTTCAGCACTGGACCCTGCCCCGCTGTATGTCACTGAACGTCCTACTGTGACCACCTCACTGCAGAAATAACCCAGCAGTGGTTATTATGGTCCCCTGGGGACCACACAACTTCATTTCATCCCCTGTGCAGCTGCAGGATTTTTTTTTATCTTGTAAGAACTGGTGTAACTGAGTTGTAAATCAGTGCATGGCCCATGAAATGTGTCAGACAGTCTGCTGAGCTCTCAGCAGAGAACACCTCCTTCTGCCAGCTTCCCCAGAGATCCTGCACACGTCTGCACCCAGGAACTGCCTTCCTCACTGCTCACCTCCCCACTCCCTGAGAGCAGCACGGCCAGGAGAAAAGTGTCTGAGCATCCTGTCTAATTAAAATGTAGGTAAGGAGAAGGCACTCGTGTATTTATGGCAGAACCTTGTTGGAATTAAGCCCCTCTGCTGGAAATGGAGTTCAGCCGAGACAAAAGGAAAGTCCTCCTGAAGTAGAGGCATAAAATTGAGGACGATTAATCAACCCTGCCCTTTTTAAACATGTGCCCAAGACCATCAGTGATGAGAAATGTCAAGGCCCAGTGCTAATGTCCAACCCCAAAATACAATAACTCCAGCAGCATGCAGGGGCATTCATTCCACACTGACTCAGATGGCAAGCTGCCACCTCCTGAATCATTCATACCACTTCCTGCAGCTCCTAGGTGGTCCTTGGAGGTATCCCCGTGCAATATGGATTGCTGGATTTATGACAGCCCACTGGTTTACAGCTCCAAGCAGTAACGCTACAAACAACCCTTTTGTCTGGAAACACTGAAAAATTAATCGCCTCAAAGACACACACTATTGGGTCTAATTAGTCCAAAGAGTTGCTTTTTAGGGGTAGTGGTGGGAGGAAAGACTGAAATGACCAGAATTATACTTCCCTGGTTTATTCTGGTAAACGAATGGAGTCTTAAATAAAAAGCAATACAAATAAATAAATAGTAAATAAATAATAATAAAAGATCACATAAATACTAAATAATAAAATAAAGATATCACATAAGTACTAAAAATAAAATAAAAACATAACATCACATAAAAAATAAATAATAAAATAAAAATATTAATAATAAAACTGACTAAACACTAATTAAAAATTATATAAAATAATAAATGAATAATTAAAAAATTAAAGTCTATAAAATAAACATTTGAAGTATAAATAAATAAATAGATAGATAGATAAATAAATAAATAAATAAATAAGCATTAAAATCCCCGGAGCGATCGCAACAAACGCAGCAACACCGTGCCGACGGACGCGACGCCGAGGATGCGACCCCATCACCGAGCGGCCGCGGGAGACCCGCAGCGCCCGACGCTCGCCGCTGTTCTTCAGCCGTTCCTGGAGCGATCGCGGCAGCACCGACCCAAACGCGCCCAGACCTCCCCCGGAACCGGTGCCGGGCACCGCCGGGCACCGCGATGCTCGCCCCCCTCCCGCGGCCCCGCCCGCCGCCCGCCCCCATCGCGGCGCTGCCCGGGCGGAGCGGCCGCGCCCCGGGCCGGGCCGGGGGCGGAGCGGGGCCGCGCCGGGCGCTATTTGGGCCATGTGACGGCCCGGCCCCGCTTGCCGCGCCTGGCGCCGGGAGGAGCGGGCGCTGCGGCTCGGCCTCCCCGCCGCGCCGGGGGCAGCGAGCGGCGGGGCCGCTGCCATGGTCCGCGGGGCAGCCCGGGCACGGTAGGAGCCGGCGGGGCCGGGCGGGGGCTCCGCGGCCTCTCCGGGCGGGCTCTCTCTGCCCGCGGTCCGTGCCGGGCTGGGGCGAGGCCGGGCTTTGGAGCGGCGGGGCTGTGTGGGAGCGGGGGTTGCTCCATCCCGGGTAGCTCGGGGGTCCCGGGGCGCTGGGGATAACGGGGCGCCCGCCGCTCCGGCAGCGCCCGGGCCCGCGGCAGCCCCGGCGCTTGGGCTGGCGGGGATGCCGCGGGGTGGGTAGGTGGGTGGGTGGCTGCCAGAGCCCGGCTGGCGTGGCCCGTGCGCGGGTTTGGAAAGCAAACAGTGATAATGTCGGTTCAGATGTCTCCGAGCCGTTAAGGAAGCGGGGTTGTTTGTTCAGTGTCTGTGGTTACGGCGGTGGTCTCTGGAGCGCACCTTACAAGGGCTGATTAATACGTCTCTTTTCTCGCTGTATAAACCTGCGCTAGTACAGCGGGGACTTATATAACCCTGTATCTGAAGGACCCAGGCTGTTGTTACGAGAAGAGGTCGGTCTTGCCGTGGCCTCCTGCTGAAGTGTGCCATGTGTTCTCCTTATCCCTTGCGTGAAGTGGGCAGCCGGGGTGGCTGATGGCTGGTGGTGGCCGTGCAGGATTTAAAACCTGTAAATCGTCCGAGCCACGGCACAAGATAAGGAAGTTTGCAAAATGATTGTAAAAATGGGAGCTGCTACCTTGGAGAAAGATCAGCTCTTTTTTTTCTCCGATAGCAATGTAGGATAAATCTGTGAGCCTTTTTTCCCCGGAGTAATCTGTGCTTTTCCCGCCCCTCTAACATCTTATTTCTGTGCTAGTGGCTTGCAGTAAGAGAGACCTGGCTGTAAGAAGGATGGGTCCAGCCTACAAGGATGGATATTTCTGTTCTGGGTTGATAAGGGAACTAACTACTGGGAATGTGATGGAGCTGTGCTACTGTTTACAAAGTGAATGGTGATGCTGAGAAGCACTGAAGTGGAGGAGCTTTTTCCCTGACCAACCAGAGGGAACTGCCCTGTCTCCTCCCTGCTCTGTCACTGTGCCTGGCCACTGGATCTCTCGTGGCTCTCAGTAGTTGTGATGATGGATGCATAAAGCAGCAATTTACTCTTCTCCCTGCTTAAAGGCAAGGAATGAACTCCAGCAGTGTATTCCTCAGGGGGGCATCAGGTTGTTGCAGTACATCGGCAGAAGGCTTTTGCAGCCTCTCTCCTCTGCTTTAGAGGTTACTGAAGTGCACTATAATGTGGTTTGGAGCTTGTTTGTAAACTTGTGTTGGATACTTCTGAGACTGGGGCTTGTGTTCCAGGAACTGGCTAGCTGATACGTGCTGCATTTGTGTGGAGTCACTTCAGTGCTGCTGGATTGGAGACTGTGCTCTGCTTGTTGCTCTCCTGTGTCTGGGTTGTTGTTTTTTTTTTTTCTTCCCTGGCCCCTATTTCCTTTCCTCAGAAAAAGTGAAAGCAGTCTGCAAGGGTTGCTTGTCTTGTCAAGTCTGTCTTATGAGGGCTAATTAAGAGTTCATTAAGTTACTGGAATTAAAAATCTGTAGCTGGTGAGCCAGTCATGACACTATGCCAGGGTTTGTGACTGAGTGTAGACTGTGCTGACAGATAATGTTCCAAGTCACAATGTATTTTTTGAAGAACATAAGATGTGGAAGGGAGCATGTGCTGTGCTTGTCTGAGGTTTGTCTCTCAGTCACATTTTGTGGTGTCACAATGCACTGGATTTGGCACCTGATAGATTCAAAGAGGCCAATGCAAGCGGTGCTTATAATTTTGGGCTTCAGTGTACATGTACTGACTGAGTCTGGAGTCACTGAGGGCTTGTGTTGACAAGGAGTGAGGATTAACTGGTGTTGGCAGGGAGTATCAATGAGATGATCTCAGCTGGGCTGTGCTTATCTTCATGTCCTGGGGAAGGAGACTTGCACATGTATTAACTAGTAGAGTAGTGTTGCATTATAGCAGTGGGGAAACAGCTGGCTAGACCTGCATGACTTAGCCTAACAAGCTGTGTTTTGGTATGAATTCCCCAAACCTGGTGTGTGTGGCGGGCTGTGGAGGTGCTGCCCTGCTCCTTTGTATTTACAGGTGTGTGTGATGTATCTTGTACCCACGGCTTAACTCGCCAAGTCACAAGTCAGACACTGGCTGCTTTCAGACAAAGCCATGTGATGCCTGCAGAATGAAAGTGAGTAAGTGTCTGTTACCAAACTGCAGTCACTGGGTTGCTTTGCTGGTGGCCACTGCAGAATGGGCTCATGTCAAGGTGTTGACTCACTTCCAGTTACTACACTGCTCTGGGCAACAAAAAAAAATGTTCCCTTGAGTTGCTCCATGTGAGTAACTGCTACAGCTGCCACTGTTTCTATCAATAATTGCTGGAGGGAAGAGCACAGTTGTCCTTAGCAAAGAGGGGGCATGTGCTACAGGTGATGGCCAAACACTCTCTGCTGAGTGTGAGAAAATACAGCTTAAAAATACTACTAACCAAGCACATGGTGGGGAGAATGTGCCACTGTCAACTGTGTTTTCCCAGAGACTACCAAAGCATCAATTCCCTGTTAACTCTGTTGTGCTCTGCCCTCAAAGGTAATGCTTTGGAAACTCCTGGGATAAAGTAAATTGGCCTTTTGCATTGGTCAAAAAACTCTCTTCCAGACTAAGGAGTGTTCTTATATGGCAAATATGAGAGTCCTCATTCTGGGTGCTAATTGGGTATGGGAACTGCTTTCCTCTGTAGCTGTGGGGTGGGACAAACTGCCTCAACTCTGTAGCTTTTAAGAGAAGGAAATCCAGCAGACTGTCCCTGGTAGAATAGATTTGGTGTGAGCTGGATCTGTGTTGAGGTCCACCTCCAGTGTGTAAAGGCAGTGAGTAAGGAACTGCCAGAGCAGTCAGCTGAACTGTGAATAATGACCTAGTCTGGAGCTGAAATTGAGGAAACCTTAAACTGTCCCAGTCCAAGGGACTGTCTGTGCAGGAGTCCTTTCTCTAGAAACGGCACAGAAGGAAGGACAATTTCATTGCATGTTAATTGTACACTTGAGTTCTGGACCTGGACCAGTGGGATGAGCAGATGCAAGTGCTGGATGATGAGATGGGTGCTTGGTGCTGTCTCATGAGTGCTGGGGACAGTTCTTTGTCACGTGGTGTCATACCTGGGATTGGCATTACGGTCCAGAGCTCTCCAGGCCAGCTGGTGCTTGTGACAATGTGACAGTGCCCCAGGGAGCATGGTTTGGGGGGATGGGTGTAGGGCCACAGGCCAGGGACAGCTGTGGGCTAATCCTTTCTAGACATCTGACTTGATGGGTGGCCTTGCTTCTGTCACTCGACCCTGCACTGGGGTTTTCAAGCAGGGAGAAAATAAAGCTAATGCTGCTCTTGTCTGATTGGGATGGGTATTAATACCAGTTTTATTTAGAGGCCTCTACCACGTGACTTGTTCTGGCAGGGGGTAGAAAAGGTGGGAAGTGTCTTTATCTGTCCACAATGTGGAAGTGCCATGGGGGCTTGGCATGGCGTCAACTATCTAGTGTTTCACTCCTGTGGTCAATGTCTTGTCATCCTCCCTTCTGGTTTTGTTGTACTTAAGCAGCATTGAAGATCAGTTTCAAAGGTTTCTGGATTAGCATCTCTTTCTGATCTTAATAGAGAAACAGCCACCTGCCTTTGCCTTAGCTTTTTTTTTTCCTGAAGCATCTTGTCCACTGACATTTCCTTGTCTTATGGCTCTGCTGGTTTGTTCTCTTCCAGAACATGTAAAGACAGACTCAAAGCTGAAGCAGTGCTGCTACTGTATGATAGTGAGGCTTTTAACCTGCAAAAGCTTTCCCTGGAAAGAGGAAGCTTTTTAAGGGGAGGAGGAAGAAGTGCGGGGCTTTCTCTTTGGGAAGAAAGCTTTTTGCTTTAAAAAAAACCCCAACAAAGTAACAACAACCACCACCATCTGCCTGATTTCAAAGGGAGAGCAACAACTTTTGACTTGGGAGCTTTTGGGGCAGAAGGTGGTGATGCCTGAATGGCGTTACCAAACATGGGCTTTTTCTTTTAGCCTGGGAGGGGAATTTGATGAAGCTCGTAAGTCGGAGCAGCTGTGTAGATGTTAGTTTGAAACTGCTTTCTTTGGAGGGCTGGTATGTTATCAAGTCAGGAATCTGTCCTGAGGAGATCCCAGATGGGGCCTTGACACCATAAATGTACAAAGGCACTCGGTTGCACAAAAACTGCAGAAACAACTTAGTTCTAAAGAACGTGAGCCACGGATGGTAAACAGCCAAGAAAAGCAAGTGAGGGGTAAGGCCAAGCCGTTCTCGACATGAGAAGGCTACATTGGTCTCAGATGTTTAGGAATTCTTAGTTAAAACTTCTGCAGACTTCCCCATGGATAAATTCTGGTTTGAATGGCCTCTTGTAAATTAAGCTCTACTTAATGTAGAGATGTGAAAAATGCCTGGATTCCAACTGCAGTGTTTGGAGGTTTGAAGTGAGCCCTGGAGTTTGCCAAAGTGCAGTTCTTGCCTAGACACCCTAATTCATTGTCGTGTGGTGCCTCGGGATCCCTGGGTCTGTAATGCAGCCTGGTGAGCTGTGCTGCAGGGAAAGCAGCATTGCTTCTCACTGAGGAGAGAATGATGACTCTCAGTGCTTCCAAACAGTAGCCTTTGGTCCTTACTGTGGAGGAGCTGGGACACTGGGTGTGAGGGATGGATGGGGTTGTGCTGTGTTGCCAGCAGTTCTGCATGGAGATGGTTTCTTTTGATATGCTATTTTAAGGCTAAACAAATCATGTTATTGAATGTGGAGAAAGAGGGGGGGATTGCTTTGCCCCATACTAATTCCAGACCATCAGGGACTCGAAGTTTCAAGAGGTGCCCATGGAAAGAAATACCTAAAACTTTGTGGACCAGCTGGTAAGGGGTAAGCTGAACTGGGAGAATTAGTGACTGTGTCCTAGTTCCTGTAAACTGTTGAACAGCTGCAGAAGAAACCTGTTGACCCTTGTGCTGAGAAGAGGTTTTGAGCCTCTGTGAATCCAGAAAGTACCTGGCTTGATGCCTGTGGCAGGAAATGTAGTTGCTTGGACTTTGTGTTCTGGGGTTCTGTGATAGGCAGGAGCTGCTGCGGGCTGTGCTGTCACCCTGCAGCCTCGCTGTCAAGGTTCTGCACTGCTGCCTTCAGCACTTGGCTTCCTTGCCTGATGGCCCACACAGTTTTCTCACAGTCAATGCTCTGGGGTTCTCCATGTGGCATGTTGGGCACTTCCAGCTGGAACACAGCGGAGCTGGGGGTGGGAGTGAATCAAACTGATGAACGCGTTTCATCTTCTGTGAGCCAGGGCACTGCTTTCCACTGCCTCTTACCTCACAGTGTTCTTGGAGTGCTGTGTGTCCCTCTTGCAGCAAGGATCAGACAGGCAGTTGTAAGTGGTTTCAGCCTCAGACTCGACTCTGGTGTTGATTCAGGCCCATGCATCTCTTAGATCTTGCTAGCACAGCTTAGTTTGCAGCCTGAGAGGGGAAGGGCAGAAGGGCTGCACACATGGCACTGATTCCAGCAGGATATTGCTGGAAGGTTAGGTATGTGGCACGAGGGCTTGCCAATGTACAGCTGCTGTGCAGAAGTTAAAAAAGGGGCAGCTAATCTGCTCTGAAGTGGCTGTGAGCTTGGGTAATGGTGAAAATTCAGGGAGTGAAGGCAGACCAGCACTGTAGTGCTGCTGGTTTTCCAGGTTGTGGGTTTGACCTGCTGTATGGTGGGATGGGGAGAAGAAGAAAGGGCTGTGTGTGTGTCTTGGGTTTATTAATGTGTCTGTTTCAGTGGCTGAGGTTCATCCTGGAACTTGGATATTGCAGTTCCTTCTTAATGGTTGCCTTAGTTAATTGACCTTGAGATGATCTACTCAAGGACCAACAAGCTGCTAAATGGTTTAACTTTTTTAACTCTGTGTTTGCAAGAAGCAGCTTTTGAAGGAGCTGAGAGCTTTCCTGGAGGGTTCACTCTCCGTGTTCCCCAGCTGCATCTTTCCTGTTCCACTGAGGTGTTTCTGACCCTCTGGGTATGTCAAGTGGCAGTAGGACGTGAGATTGTTGAAGGGGAGGGTCACATGTGCCCACAGTGCCCACGCAGGTCCAAATCTGCACTTCTGGCATGAATGACAATAACGTTAAATCCGAGGCTTTATTTGGGTAATCCCATAAAGCCTGGTGTGAGTGTGGACACCGAACTGGATTTGCAAGAGGCACAGCTTTGTGTGTCAACACCCCAAGTGGGAGGGGACACCTGATGAGATTTGCCTGGAAGGAGCAATCGCCCACATCTGCAGCCAGGCTGTGATTGTGCAAGTGCCCTCCTGCTTGCTCCAGAGCAGTGCTGTGAGACTGGGGAACCCTGCCAAGCGTGCTGTGTCACTCCAGGGTGGCAGAGATGCCCAGATGTTTGCCTACAAGGAGCTCCAGTAAATCTGCTGCTTTACTGAGAAGAGAATCCTTGCTGCCAGGTGTACTCAAACACTAACTTGCAGTATGTATTTTTTCCTATAAGGACTTTCTGCTGTCCGTATTTTCTCCAGAAAGGAGTTTGCCTCATGAGGTGCCTTCAGTCTTTGTGCCTTGATGCAGGGAAGCGGTTGCAAGTGCATGTGGCAGCACATTATCAGTGGGGGTCAGCAGAACTTCCATGGACTGCACATTGCCCCTGGGCCATGTGCAGCATCCCCTGACTAAGCTCAGTAGGCAGCAGCAGGTTTGGGCTTTAGGCCAGAGGTGTGGCAAGGCCTCTGGTGTGCATCGAGGAACATCCAAGAGCAAAGTGAGACACGGGGCTTATCCTCAGCTGGGCTGTGTTTTGTGGGATAAGTGCAGCAACACTTGGGTGTTAAAATGGAGAAGAAGGACGGCTTTTAACGGTTTTGCGGTTTTTGGTAAGAAACAAGAGAGGAATGGCTCTCAGAGCTTGAAGTGGAGGAGATTTCTTGATGCAGGTAGGACCGTGGTTGGTGCTGGGGAGCAGTGTGCTGTAGAGTAGGACTGCTGGCAAATCCCCCTGTGTATTTAAGATAGGAGAATGGGTTTTGAGCTCATGGTCATTAAGGTGGAGGGGAAGGATAGAGTGATGTAACCAGTACTTGTTCAGTGGCATGTGCTCTTATGTTGTTTGGATTAGGCTGTCTTCAAACTTTCCAACAATGCCAACCAATCCTCTGTCTAGAGTGTTTTTGAAAGAATCCTTGGCCTCATGGGAATCTCCATTTCAAGGTGCCAAACAGCACAGCAGAAGGCATGTCAGTGGTTTTACTGCTGAGGAGGCTTTTATGCCAACACAAGGTCCAGTGTACTCTTAAATCTTGTTTTGGCATACCTGAGACACCCACAGAATGAGTTTGTCACAGAAATGGTGTCTGACCCAGGGCTGTGGTGCCAAAGAGGTGTCAGTCCTGTCCTTGGCACAAAGCAGGCAGAGCAGATGGCCCAGCAGGTGGCAGGGTGGCAGCAACGACAAAGTGACTTTGCAGGACGTTCAGCAAACCCTCTTGTGCTTACAAGTCTGATGGAAGAGCTGGACAGTCCAATTAAGACTTGCCTAGATGCATTTATCCAGGGTGAATAGCTCCATAGCCAGCATTTTCAAGTCTAGGAGTTGGGATTATCTGTAGGGTGGTTTCAGTTTATGCTTTCATTGAATATTAGTAGTGTAATGGATTGATTGAAATAAAACTGCGAGGTAAGTTTATTCTGGTGGGAGGGCTTTTTGGGGGAGGAAAACACTGTTGGATGTGGTGGCTTTGTTTGATGTCCCAGGCACTAGATATTCTGGACAGTTTACATCTCTTCCATGTTTGGGAGGTTGTGGTGCACTCAGTGGTGGGTGGCAGTGGCTTTCTCATTACTCTCAAACTGATGTTTGCACACAGCAAGTCTTGGCAAAGCCATCCAACCTTCTCAGAAGGAGTAAGGACTTCAGCAGAAGCCAAAAAAGAGTTGCACATACTTGGACTGAGACTGCCCAGCCCTAGAAAAGTCAGAAGCCCAGATTCTGAGGACAGCAGCTAACATAACTGGCTTACATCTCTACAGTTCTCGATAACTAAACTCTGAAAACACAAGGCAGCTGCTCCTTTCTGCTTCTTCCTAAGTGCACTGAGTGTGTTTTGCTTAAGAGCAGATCTCTTGACTGTTTCTGCAAGGCTTCCTCATCTCTGTGTTTTTTTAAAGCCCTATTAATGTGTTTCAAACTTGGTTTCCTAATTGGAAACTTTCCATTGATGTCACGGGAGCTTTCTGCGGCCCACCTCAAATATCTTGGTTCACCAGGAATTAAGTGACTGGACAAATGTTTATGTTAAACACTTATTTAGAAGGTATGTGGACTTATGAGGACCTGTGATGGCTGTGGTATGTTGGGAGGATGTCTTGGCTGTACAGTTCTTGTCTTGCCTTTGAACTCTCGAAGTCCTGGCAGCTGTTTAATGCCTAGATAAGGACTCAGGCTTGCTCCCAGCTCCTGAACGTGTTCCATCCCTGACTGTTGAGCTGGTTCTTGTCTCTTACATTGGAGAGCTTTTTGAGTGGGTAACCTTCATGGAAAGGACCCAGATGGCAGAGTCTGGAATAGTCACATCAGAGGGCCGTTGGCTTAATTACAGGTGTGGAATTTTGTTGTTTTAGAGAGGAAACCCACAGTTTAGTCTGCTGAGGAGCCCTAGGGAGGGAAGGAAGAACATGGAAGTTCTTCAGACTCTGCTTACTCAGGCTTCTGTGGCAGTGTCAGGGCATTTGGAAGGTGGAAACAGGAGGAATAAAAACCACCATGGCATTCCATGTCACCACCAAACAGACCTCAGACACCGAGTAGAGGCTGTTTCTTTCCTTCCCTGCAGGACATTGTGCTCTGAGGTGCAGCTTCATATTGGCACCTGGGAGGTGAGGAAGCCACTTTAAATATCACTCGATTTCCAGAGTTCAAGCTAGTGAAACTGGTGCTTAGGAATGAATTTCTGAGTGTCCCACTACCACTAAGGGGCAAATTTCACCCCTTGCCACTCGAACCAGTAGTGAAGCTACTGAACGATGCTGTAGTGCATGTCTTGGTCATGTTTTTTTTGGCAAAAACATTTGTTCTGTATTACCACAACTGCTATTTCCAGGAAAAAGTTGCTCTGGGATATCTGGCTACCTTACAGTGCAGATGTCCTCTGAAGGCAGCATGTGCATTCTTGCAGCCACAGTTTGTATAATGTGTTTTTTATCCACTTCATTTTGGTGCTTTCCAGTCTGATTTGTCTCGTTGTGCTTTTACAGGGATACAATTGCAGGCAGGCTAGAAAGGCTTTCTCAAAACTGCTGTTATGTGAAGCCTTTTGCTGGATGATGTCAGGAGCCAGCCAAAGCTTTTGGTCACCCTGCCTGTCTCAAACCACCCCAGCAATTTCCAGGGACCCTTTCAGGTAATGGGGAAAGCAAAACATTGCATCATGCTGGGACTGTACCCAGCTGCTGGATTCGTGGAGATGTGCAGTGCCTCTTCCTAATTATGGTGTGTCCCGGGTCAATTATATTTAAACACAGAGTCCAACCGTATCATTAAACTTTTTTTGGCTAATGACAAGTCAGAAATCCAGTGAAGCATCATCCCAGAATGCTCTGCTCTGGGGAGTTGCTGAGTGTGTTCCAGTAAAGCTGGCAGCGGGAGATGTCTCTTGTGCAATCCGTCTGCCAGGAATATCCCCTTAGTTCAGCACTTTGGGAGCTGCTGTGCGGTGATGCCTCGTTGCTGGTGCGTGTTCCTGGACGTGGAGGGCTCGCCTTGCTGAGCACCCTGGTGGAGTGGTTTGCTGAATGTTGACAAATGTCTCGGCACTGGTCTGTTCCGTGTTTATCCAGCTCTTTCTTTGGGTTTTCGCTTCATATATCCAGTGTTTGAGTTACACAGCTCCTGGCAGCTGCCTCAGGAATGAGAGGTGAGCACATCTTTCTAGAGACTGGCGATGGGCTGGGTCAGGCAGAGTGCACTGTGTTGGTTTCTTGTTCCTTGATAGTTCCAAGCAGTTTAAAAGGTTACATAAAGTGGCTTTCTCTACCTGCTGTTGAGTGGAAGGATGGGAATCCTTCGCCATCCCCATCAGAAATTACAATTCTGACTTGATTCTCTGCAAAGAACGGACTGTAGCAGGCAGGCAAGAAAGGTCAGTGCTGTTTTCCATTCTCTACTGGCTGGATTGCAAAGCCATTTGTGCCCAGACATTCTGGAGGTGTTCTGCCATGGTGTGACTCTGCTTCCTTTTTTGCTAAGGGAGATCCCTAGGAAATGGCTTTTCCTATGGAGACTTGAAGGGGGGGGAAGAAGGAATTGGAAGCTAAAGGGGAGATATTGTGGAATTAAACAAGCCAAGGTGCTCGATGACCCTGGTATAGCAAGCTAGGATTTGTCTGGACACTTCACCTCAACTGGCTGCTGCATCAGTTGGAGAACAGAAATTGCATCTCCTGTCTGTGTTGTTGGATTTGGAAAGGGTTTTTCCACAGCTTTTGTTATGTTTAAGGGTGCTTGTTGTTCCCGGATTAAACTTGAATAGAAAACATAAGGCTGCTGCCAGCTTTCTGTCACAGACACCTTTTATCTTGCATTCATCTCTTCCAAGCAGATGCTGCTTTCATTTCTTCTACTTTTTTGCTACAAGAGTGATTAGCAGCCCTTTGATGCAGGGGAAGAAACTGTATTTCAAAGCAAAGCACCTCCTTAACTTTGATAACAAAACTGTTGTTTTTATCTGGAAGGTAATTCTGTGTTCCTTTGAAACAAACCTGAGGGCTGGGAGCTCCTGAACCCTTCTTGCTCTGAGTGAAGGTGCAGATCCTTCCCTGGGGGCTCAGTGACTGTGCTGTTTGGGTGGGAGGTGTGGATGAAGCTGAGCTGCTCGTGGTGAGGATGTTCCTGGGGCAGAGGGTGGCAGATGCTGGTGCACAGTGTCTCTGCAGGTGTTTTCCTTCCAGCTGGCTGTGAGCTGCAGCGTGTGGCTGATGGTGTCAAAAGTGCCAACCACACAGCTCAAGGTGGGGCACGGCAGGAGGAAGGAGCTGAGGGGAACGGGAGCCTGCAGACACTGCGCTGTGGTGGTGAAGCAATCTGTATCCTCCAGCCAGGCAGAATTGTTTTTTCCAATCCACCCTGCCCTCCCAAGCCTTCCTGCCTTCAAAGGCTTGTGCTGAGCGTGAGGTTCATGTCAGCATCCAGCTTCTGGCTTTCATCTTTTCCACTTGAAGAGATAAGCCCTGCTCCTGTGAGGTGTAATACTTCCGAAAGGGTGGTGTGGGGATTGTTTCCCAGGGGGATGTTGAAGTGTTCCTGTCCTCATAGGGAGAACAACTGGTTGATAAGACTGAGCCACAGCATTGCTCGTGTGGCAGGTGACTTTGAGGAATGAAGCATTCCCAAACTTCGGCTGTGGCTGGCTTGGCTGGTGGTCAGGGCATGGAAGAGAAGGTGTTGTCAGCATTTAGCATGTCACAAGAATTATGTGACGCAGCAGAGGCACGTTGGATGTGCAGATCACGGGTCCAAGATCTCATTTGAGAGTTGGGGCTGAGGAAAATACCTACTGAAACTACCAGACTCAGTGAGGGAGACCATGCAAGGCTGCTTTGCACATAGGCAGGTGCTGGAGGCACTGAAGAGTCTGACAGGCTTGCAGGTAAGGAAACCTAAACTTGACTTCAAGAACCTGTCACAATTGTGTGATGAGCTCCTGCTTTAGGTACATGTACAGGGGTGTTGACTTTTGTAAACATCCTTTTGTTAAGTGAAGAGAATGGTTTCCTAAACAGTGTGGGGGGGAAAAAAATCACTTCCTCAGTGACTCAGCTGTCTCCTCTTGTGAGGTTTTTGTCCTCAGTGGTGACACCCTCAGTCTCCAAAGACTTCAGGACAGGAAAGACCTGAATCTGTGGTTTAAACTGTGAAAGATCTACTGGGTCTTCATACACAGTCCTGTTTTTTCAACACCTAAGAAGCCCAGGATGAAGAGATCTGGGTCAATAGTGTAGAGGAGTGCTGAGTTTTTTCCATGTGGCAAGGTAAGACAAAAGGGCACGTGAACTGGATGTCTTTGTGTTGCTTAGAGTAAATGACTGTGCAGGATGAAGGCACTAACAGCTGGTGCAAAGGGACTGAACTGCATTCCCTTGTCTAGGATTTGTTTGACCTGAGCATTAACACAAAACTCAACCTGAAACTGGAATGACTGGAACAGGGAAGAAGATGTGTAACTGTAAGTATAAGGAGGAGTCGTGTCACCATACTTTGGAACAGTTGCCCACGGTTTGTTTTTGAAGGTTTACAAGAGTAAACTGGTGAGCTAGAAAACAAAATTTGCCTTGGACCATCCTGCCCAAGGCCTTAGCAGCTGTGCTGTCCACCTTCCTGACTCCCTGCTTGGCATTCACTAAAACAAGGTATAAAACTACAGTTCTTGCACTGCAGACCTTCTAGGCTGGGCACTTGGTTTGACTGTTGGGTGTCAGCCCCTCTTTAAAGAGGGACATGACTGTTGTGATAGGTCACAGGAGCACAACTAACTTTATCTCTTGACCTGGTGGTGAAAGGGTGGAAGGAAATGTACTGTGCAGGCTGAGGCAGCTGCTGGTGATGAGGGGCTGCACACCCAGTGTTTGGGCTGGTGGATAGAGCTTGAGGGGAAAGTTGTGCTTGTTACACTGATTTTTTTTCTGCTTGAAGCTCTGCAGGGATTGGGTTGTGCTGTAGCACTGGTTATATGTAGGAAAGCAGCAGCTATGCAGAGCTCTTTGGCTGCATTCAGCCCCGGGCTTATGGAATGAATTTTCTCAAGTCTCGTGATTCCACTGTCGTAGTGTCTGATCAGGTGGAAAAGACTCAGTCAGGAAGCTCATTAGCTCCTGCCTGAGGGACTTGTTTCCTCCCTGAAAAATAGCAGCAGGCATGCCTGGCTGGCTGGGAATCTCTCTGCATCCATCCTCCTGTCTGTGTGGTGGGCTGGCTGTGACAGGAGAGGTCAATGCAGTGACTAAACACAGACTGTAAGAGGGAGGATGAAAGGGATGAACTTGGATGGAGCACGATGGTTGAAAGCAAGGAAGAGGATGCCAGCTGAGTTGCTGGGGATGCAAATGTAAATAAACTGTAAAAGTGGAGGAGGAAAAAAAAAATCTAACCTTTGCTTCCTTAAATGTCAGGGACAAAAGGAGGGTTTTTGTGAGGAGGAACTGAGGAGTGTTCTGCTGGGCATCAAGGATGCTGGGGCTTGGAACCTCCTCCTCAGGAACGGGCAGTTTGTGGGCATCCTCCTGTTGTTCACCTTGCTCTCTTGCTCTCCCCAAGGATGAGAAGTGTGCAACGCTCTGATTGCTCTGCAGAGTGTGTTCTCCTGCCCTCTGTGGCAGGTTGGTAGTGGTATTGCTGCCCTTCTCCACGGGGGAAATGCAGACCCAGGGAAGGGATGTGCCCAAGCTTGCCAGGCTGAGTGGCAGTGAAGCAGGGAGGGAGCACAACTTCACTTCTGCACCACGAGGCCCTGATTTTGGTGAATGTGCTGCCCTGTCCTCTGACTCAGAACAGCATCCAGTCTGTGGTCCTGTAAATGCTCTGCTTGGAGGGAGCAGAGGCCCTGTTGCAACTGGGCCAGGAATTATCTGTTTCTAGTACATGGCCCAGATTTCAATTACGCTTTTTCCAGAGTGATGAGCAGCACCAGACACACTTGCACAACTTCCCCTCTGGCAGAGATGTATTTGATGTAGATACATGTGCTGAAGCTGCAGACACAATAAACGTATTTGAGGGTAACAGGCTGAGTAATCTGGTGCTTGGCAGCTGCTCTGTTGTGGGGATTTTTGCTTTACTGTTAGCAGTGTTTGTGACATCTTCAAATGAAAAGAGGAAGGAGACAGTAGCTGAGCAACCTTAATATTAAAATAGCTCAAACTACAAGTGGTTTTCCTGACAGAAGGAATCCTGCTGAATTCAGTGTGTCTCCTGACAGAGTATACTGTGTTGCTTTGAGGAGCAGGGATTGATATCCTCACAATCTGCTGTGTGCTTTTAATTTTCAAGGCATCTGTTTGAGAAAATGCTGCTCTGCAGGTCTGTAATACCCAGATCAGTGATTTGAGTACAGTAAGGGCTCAGTTCACATTCTCATGCAGGTACTGGTACTTGGGTTGTGCTAGGTGGCTTCTTCCAGCTCTTGCTGGGCTCCCTGTGTTCATGGAGGTGTTGTGATTGCCTCACTGGAAGCAGCAGAACAGCTATCCTGGGAACTAAACCAGCACTTCCAGCAGTTGGGATGCCATGGTTTTACTCTTCAGCTGAAATGGAGGCTGACCTGCCACGAGGTGGGAGAAGACAGCACAGGAGGCAGCTGGAAAGTCTCTTTGCTCTGCCCTGCTGTCAGCTAGGAAGGAGACAGAAGGGGAGTTTTGGTAGGTGACTGCTGAGAACATGGATTTCTTCTAATGCAGCTGCTGCCAGCATGAAACCACAGTGATTCATGGACTGTTTTTTAGGGGAAAGCAGTGCTTTGTTACCAAACCCTTTGTCCTGATGGCTTGTGGTGTTGGCCAATCTCGCAGTCGTAGCCAAAAAAGTGCTTTTGATACAGGAGTGGAAACTGTGCAGAGGTAGAAACATCAAACTTTGTTCTTTCCACCCACTGCTCCCCTCCTTATCTCCTGATTGTCAGACAAAACTAATGAATCCAGAATGAGGGGTGGACAGTGGGCAGTGTAGGCTGCAAATTAATAAGCAGGGAAATAATGAAAAGCAGGGAGTTCTTGTGCAAGAGGGTGGCTTGTTACGGATTATGTGGGGTTCTTTAATGCAAATAGTTCTGAACATAAACACTATTTAAAATTTATGGTGGCTTAATTGCAGAGGAAATGCCTTTCTAAATGCAGCCTATCAAATGGCTCCAGTGCTGGAGGGAAGGAGGGAAAAACCTTAGGCAAGCATGGCAGCTTGGCCAGGTCTTTTGAGGGCTGCTTGGTTATAAAATTGGGGGGGGTGGGTATCTGTAATGTAACTGTAATTTGTAATCTGCCAAGCAGAGATTTCAACCTCATGGGGTCGTGAGGCTTCCTCTGGAAGCAGTGCTTGTTTACTTGCAGAGTCTTGATAAAACGTAGAAAAATCAGTTGAAGGTGGTTGGACAGGTACAAAGGTGTAAGAAAGGGGAACTTCTGGACATGTGGAGAAAAGGCTGCGCGTGACCCTTCTCCTTACTACCTAAGTGACTTATTTCCTGTGGCACTTAGTCTGGAGGCATCTCTTGAGTGCGTGTAATGAAATTGGAACTGTGAAAACACTGTGCCTTTTGCAGGTGAGCTTTGCAGTTGGTGTATCTGTGCTGGCCCAGCTGTTTTTTCTCCTTGGAATACGCTCCCCCAAGACACCAGAGCTCTTTTCTTCTGATGGCAAAGACTGCACTGAAGCAACCTGGGAGCAGCCTCTCATAGTTGTATCAAACAGTCCTCATTTCAGTACAAACAAACTGCATCCCCCAAAAATGGATCCTTGACATAAGCAGCGAGGAAAAGCATCACCTGTCTGATGGATCTAGCCTAGAAATGGTACCAGGAGCTAAAAAAATGCCTCTGCCAAATGTGACCAGTGAGATGAGAACTTGGTAAGAGGGAGGTACATCTTACCTGGTCTGCAGGATATTTGGGCTGGTGCTGCTGTGTTCCCTAAATGTCTGCAATTCACTGTGTGTCTGGGTAACTTGGGATCCCCAGGTAAATGGTTACCCTGAGAGGTGACCTGACTGACACCTGACAATCAGCCTTCTGGCACCAGGTGTGATTTGGATGCTGAATTCTACCTGGAACCCAAGCTCATCAAGTCAGCCTTCTAGGTAGCAGCTGCCTGTAAATGCTTGCTGGAATACAGAGTTTAAAGTTGCTTCTGGAAAACAGCACTTCACCAGTTGGCTACAAGCAGATATTCTAGACCAGCAGGAAGTTGGAGAGGAGCAAAGGGGAGAGGTGTAGGGAAGGTCAGTGCTGCAGCTGCAGATGTGGGACATGGGAAGGGACTCTGGCTCAATTTCTCAGTGCTTAGCTGAGATGCAGAGCTGTCAGTTCGATGTGGGATGGTAAACTCAGGGTCCTATCCTGCCTGATGGGGGGGGAAAGCTTTAGTTGCTGGATTTCTGGCCTGTTCATCAGCTCCTACTCAGTGTGGGTACTTCACCATGGCTTCTCTCAGGCCATGGCCAGTTTAGCAGCCATTCTTGTGCTGTGTAATGCTGCTGTTGAGGATGTGTGTTCAGGGCAAACTTCTGTTGTACAAGCACAGCAAACTGCTTAATTCCTTTTAACATCTGTGTGTTCCACTACCAGTAAATGAACCGTTTCTAGCCAGTCTTATTGTCCTGACTTGCTTTGTGAAGGCCACAGACCATGAGTAAGTGTGGAAAGGAAGTGGACACACCAGACAGGATAAGAAGCAACTGTGCTGCTGGTAATGCAGTGGTAATTGTTTAACCTGCACAGCTTCCTAGTGCTGCTGTCCTCAGAATACCCAGGACAAAGTGTCCCCAAGGTAGTGCTGGAAAAGGTACAAAAGAGCTGCTTTAGAGTACTGGGCTAAGTGGGTTGACCATAAGGAGCTCAACTAACAGTGCTTCATGCCAAGAACAGAATGGCTGCAGGCAAATGGCTGCAATCTGCCTCTGAGAAGCTATTTTAAAGAGTCTTGGTTTGTGCCTGGTCTCTAACACGCAGCTGACATTCATGAGCTGCCTTACACAGAGCTGTAAAGAGCCTAATGACCTTTACAACATCCCCTGAACTTCCTCAGTGAGGAAAACCAGCCTGAGTTGGCTTTTTTTTTTTTTCATTGAAAGGGCTACCTTAGTTTCTCTGAACCAAAATTGCCATTTATAATTATCCTTCAATAGAAGATCTCAGGCAGGAACTTGGGGAACTCCTTTTGTCTGGGTTGCTTCCATCATTACAGGTGCTTTGCAAAGTAACCTCTCCTGGTTTTTAGTGGTGTTTTCTGCTAGGTTATGCAGCACTGCAGTTAGCAGGAACTGCCTGGGTAGGTGGACAGGTGGAAATTTGCTTAAGGTGGTTTTTAGTAAGTGGCTTAGTTGAGGATGGGTCACGGTTGTTACTTCAGGTTTTAGTTGACTCAGATGTGCTCCTGTGAGTAACTTCAGTGCTTTGCTTTGGAGAACCAGACACTAGAGAAATGGTGTAAAAGGGCATCTCTTGCCTTCAGCATGGCAAAAATAGCTAGAGAACTTCAGCAGAAAGTGTCTGAATCATCCCAAGGAGAGGAAGGATGGAGAGCTGGGTTCACACAGACAAGCTGATTCTCGGTGGTTGCAAGTCCTAGCAGTGCTGAATGATGACATGCTCTTGGCTTCCACGGGCAGAAGCCTTTTCTGGTGTGTCTGGAGGTGGACTGGCTGCCTCATGTACGGCACAGCAGAGCCCTTGGTACCTGCTCAGTAGGTGAATAAGGCTGTTTGCTCAGCAAGGTGGTTGTTAGCTTTGTAATCCGGGCAAGTCGAGCATTGCCAAACCAAAGTGACTTGTTCTCCCCATCCCTGCCGTATCTCGAGCACAGTAACTTGTCAGGGGCCTCTTACTCTGCTGCAGGATTTTCCTGTGTGCTGTTTGCTGGGACATGGGCCACCTTTTTCTTCATTCTTGCTCGCCCAACCTGCCATGACCTCAGCTTCACTTTCCTGCAGAGGCCACTCAGCCCTGCCAGCACCTCAACCTGCCCAGCCCAACTGCTCCTGCTCCTCAGGAGGTGGGGCTGGGAAGTTGCCCCTGTGGCAACTTTCTCCACGTGGGGCAAGGCAGCAGTGAGGCTGCCAAAGCCAGTGCTGTGCAACAAGGGTTGCCTGCCCAGTCGTGATCTCAGCAAACTTGCAACACTCAAAGGCGCTCGAACCGTGGTGTTGGGGCAGTGGTTCCTGTCATCTGTCCTGTAGCTGCTTGGGCTCTGCCAACTCAGCACTGGAAAACTTCTTCAGCAGCATAGGTGAGCTTTTTTTCCCAAGGTTTAATCAGTGTTTAATGCGGTTAAGAGGTGTTGTAGCACTGCTGATGCAGCTTGGCTTCTGTGATACAGAAGGTCTGCATGATCGAGGGATGTGTTCTCAGCCCCATCCAGGGAGGAAGGGGAAATCCCTTTCTTTCTAAGGAAGGGTCTCTGTGGGCTCTTTCTGGCATGCTAGTTGTGCACATATCTTACCTTCTGGTCAGCAAACCAGCAGTGGTGTGGTTTGTTGGCTTGCAGGATGAACATTCAACCCAAGAAAATGAACCAGGTTTACTTCATGCTTTTCTAGTAAAATCATAGGAACATGAGCGAAACCACAGTGGGGTTTTTTTTGGTCTCATTTGTTAGTACTGTCTGGGATCCTTTAGTTCAACTTCTAAAGCTGTAAGCAAGTAAATCACCATGGGTAGAATATCTTTTCTCCTGAGGTGTGTTCCAGGCTGGAAATCTTTAGGGTAGGGCTCTGATTCATTGCCTGTAGAGCACCCAGAGCCTGTTAGGTGTTTAAAGGTCTGGCCTCTTATCTGTAGAAGTACACTTAATTAATATTATGTGGAGGAAATAAAGCCACAGTAAACTGACTTGAATAAACAGACTTAAAGTAAGACTGGATCAGGAATCAAGGAGCTTAAGACCCTTCAAGTGTTCTTGTTATTGATGCTCCAGACAGGTGTCTGTAGGTGTTGAGCTGCAGAGCAAGGGAGGAGCCGTGAGGAGCCTTGGGTTTTCTGAGCTGAAAAGAGAAGTTGGACACCAGCTCTGCTCTGTCATATACAATATTTTCCTCGAAGACTTGTGTTCTCCTTATCCAACAGCAGGGACTTTGCCTTGCATTGAGATGTCTTTCTGTCTCCTGCCTTGATCTATTTTCAGCAAGCAGTTGTTTTGAAATCTGGCATATCTTTCTTGTATGGCAAATTGCCTGCTTGCTCCTAGCAGCGGGATCGAGGGGAGGTCTAATTCTCACTGAAAACAGCAGGGAATGCTTTTCTCTAAGACACTCTTATAATTTCATTCCAAAGCTTTTAAGCCCAGAAGGTTAACAATAGAACTGAAAAAAAGCATGGGAGCAGAACTGAGCATCATGGGGGGATGAGCTTGTGTTTTGTGAAGCCTAGCAGAGTTACAGCAAGCCTGAGCTGTTGATAAGAGAGATAAAAGCACTTTCAGTGTTTAGATTTGTACTTAAACCTGTAACAGTTCAAAGGCTTTGAAGCAGCCCATTCCCTCGCATATCTTCTCATTTATGGCTGTCTGTGTCTCGTATCAGGCTGCCCAGGGCATTAATCCATTAATTTAAGAGGATAAGCTCTTCTGTATCTCTCGTGCTGGAGGAAAGTGCCTGTATTGTCTTGTGCATGAAGAGGCTTTTCCTTTTAAAAAATTAGGGTGTAATTGTGCTTCCTGACTGCAGGGCAAGGTGCCACCCTGCAGTTCCAGACCAGGGTAGTGCCAGGAGCGGCAGCAGAGCCAGCTGTGAGCAGGAGTTACTGCCTTGCCCTAATGAGGAGCCATGTTGCACTTAAATCTTGGCACATGGTGCTCAGTGTCTGACCTGCTCTCACTCTAATCAACCCCTTTGTTCCATCCCTTTTCCTTTCTTTCCTCCTTTCCCTTTGTTCTGGCCATTGTCTTTCATCTGGTGTTAACAGTCTGCCTGGGAAAGAGTCGTAACTAATGGAAGTGATGAGTGGTGCTTGTGTGCAGAAAAGCTGCTTCCCCTGCAGAGCCAAGCAGGCAGTGGAGGGTGTCCTGTCCCCTTCTGTGCTTCAGAGGTCCCTGCTGTCTTTCACTGGGGTGATTCCCTTTCTGGTGCATCGGCCTTGAGAGAAATACGATGAAGCTTGTGTTGGCAAAAGGCAAAAAGTCATGATGAACGAGGCATTGTTTTGCTAATGAAGAGCACAATTGTATTCTCTTGCTTCTCTGGAGTGTTTTGTGCTTCGAAGAGCTCTGCACCAAGTACTCCTGCAGTCTGGCAGTCTGCTTTGTTTTGGTTCTTGCTTCCTATGCTGTGTTCTCACATGCACTGCACAGGAAGTCTCTGCCTCTCCTCCTTCTGCCAATGTTTTGTTCCTTTATCCTAATCAAAATTCCAGCAGCAGAATTTGCCTATGGACTTCCATGTGTACTTTAGGCAGTCCCTTGCTGGGACAGCCTCTGCCCTTATGCCACAGGCCTGGGGAATGGCAGGTTGGTTCACCTGGTGCTTTCTGTAGAGCACCACATGTTCTGTGTAGAACACCTCATTGTTCAGCAGCCTGATGGTTTTTATCCCAGCCTGAGCTGGGATGCACTGAAATCATTGCTTTGGGTCAGCATTAATGTGCCTTTCCCAGGGAAGCTCAGCTGATGTCTGCTTTGGCTCCTTCCTGGCATCCCTTGCTTTTTGATTTTGCTGTTCCTAAAGGCTTACAGAGCAAAGGGAGCCTGTGCCCTCAGGGGCTGGAAGTGCCTGTGAGTCATGGAAACACGTGGGCCCAAGCACGAGCTGTGGGGCACAACTAAATGGTGTGCTGGGGAGGGTGATGCAGTGGCATCCAGGCACTGCCATCCTTCTGATTTTGCTGTTACTTGCTTATCTTCAGCTGTTGACCAGCTGGCTCACCCAGTTTCAGGATTTGTTTTGATGTTGGGGATGGTATTTATTGAAGTTGCAGGATGTCTTGGTTATCTTAGCAGCTGATAACATGATTAGACCCAGTTTAAATGGCATCTTCTCTCTCTCTCAGTGCCAAACATCTGAGGTTCCTGGATAGTCTGAAATAGCTGTGCTGCAGCCTGTGTGTTGGGGGTGACTTCTAAAGAACCTCAGGCCTTTTCTTCTCCCATCCTTGAAAAAAAAAGGAGGGAAGGAAAGGAAAAGTCTTGTCTCTTGTTACTTAGGAATTATGAGATTTAGCTTACTGTTCCAATGACATACCTTGGATTACTGGTAAAAACCTGTAGGGAAGCTGCTGAATTGAACATACATGAGCCTTCAACATACATGAGCCTCCCCTGTCACCTTCTAGCTGAAGCCTTGCTGCTGATGTCCAGTAATCTTATTTTTAAACCAGATCTGATTCATGCTCTTATTTTCTATGCCAGATGAGGTCCTTGGTTGTGAGTAAGTGTTGTGACTGTAGCTGGCAGGAGTGCTGCATGATTGCCTCACTTCAGGAAATGTTAAAATAACACTTTTTTTTCTTAGAAAGCTAGTTTGCTCCCCTCCCACTTCTAATTCTCCTAATAGCTGCCCCCAGTTTGGCAGCTGCCTTACAGAGGGTTGTTTGTGTTGCTGAGTGAGAGCAGAGACACTTCAGTGGATGCAGTGCTGGAGGAGAGGTACACAAAGTGAGCTAGTATCTCTAGCCAAGCTGGCTTAAACGTTTTAGAGGTTTCTCTGAAATCTGGAAGGCAAACTGCTAAACTGTGAGAAGAATCTTGCTCCTCCCCCTGGACTCTGCGACTGAAGTGGGGATTTTTTTCCCTCTTGGAGAGGAGCAGCTGCCCCAGCCGAAGCTGCTCATTTGAGACGAACCACACAGCAGGTTTATCTGCTCCCTGGCTGCAGTGCCTCAGTGGGGCTGAGAGCACCAGGAGCTGCTGGAATGAGTGTCCCCCAAGGACGGACCCTGCAGGTTTTGTCTGCTGTTTCAGACTTGCAGTCAGGCCTCCAAGGTACTCGGCAAAGCTTCAGTGGGGTTGAAGAGAGTTATCTCCTCAACCTTCTGTCAGTGGCTGCTCTGTGCTTTGCCAGGCTATCCGTGGAACCCTTCCTTGCTGGTGGAAAGGCAGGGCAGGGTGTTGGGATAAACAGATGAGTGCTGTGCTCTGTAAATGTGGCACGCAAGGCTGCGTGTGCTAATGTTTAACTTGTCTCCTGTTTTGCTTTCCATCCGTTAGGCAATCCTGAGCGGTGCACATCTTGACGAAGTCTCCTAGCGACCTTTTCTGCGGGGCTGAATGACAGCAGGAGCTGCCAGGTGAACCCGATGAGCCTGTAAAGAGGTGAGACCAGGACACACCATGGGTCAGAAGGTCACAGGTGGGATAAAGACTGTGGATATGAGGGACCCTGTGTACAGGCCGTTGAAACAGGAGCTCCAAGGACTCGACTACAGCAAACCCACGCGGCTGGACTTGCTGCTGGACATGCCTCCCGTGTCCTACGAGGTGCAGCTGCTGCACTCGTGGAACAACGACGACCGCTCGCTGAACGTGTTCGTGAAGGAGGACGACAAGCTCATATTTCACCGGCATCCGGTGGCCCAGAGCACGGACGCCATCAGGGGCAAGGTGGGGTACACGCGGGGGCTGCACGTGTGGCAGATCACGTGGGCCATGCGGCAGCGGGGCACCCACGCCGTGGTGGGGGTGGCCACGGCCGACGCCCCCCTGCACTCGGTGGGCTACACGACCCTGGTGGGGAACAACCACGAGTCGTGGGGCTGGGACCTGGGCCGCAACAGACTCTACCACGACGGCAAGAACCAGCCCAGCAAAACCTACCCCGCCTTCCTGGAGCCGGACGAGACTTTCATCGTGCCCGACTCCTTCCTGGTGGTCCTGGACATGGATGATGGGACGCTGAGCTTCATTGTCGATGGGCAGTACATGGGGGTTGCGTTTCGAGGACTCAAAGGGAAGAAGCTCTACCCGGTGGTGAGCGCAGTGTGGGGACACTGTGAGATACGGATGTGCTACTTGAATGGACTCGACCGTGAGTATGGCTCCTGTGTTTGTTCTGGCTGCACAAACCTGCTGCTGCTGCAGTGCAGGCTCACTGGGACAGCCTGGGGAGGGGCTCCATCCTTCTGGGGAGGTGAGGACTTCATGTGGGCAGGAGGGTTGCTGGATTCAGCTCTGAAATCCTTAGTGGCTCACCCAGACAGTTTGGCTGTACACCTGTACCCAGGCACTGCAGGGTTTGAGTGGGAGAGCGTGGTGGGGGAAGGTGATGCCAGCTGTCTGACTAGAGGTGACAAACCTTTCTGTATTTCAACCAAAGCACCAGCAAATGTTCTTCTGAAAATTGCATTATTTGCAATGTAATCCTGGTGTCTCTTCAGAGAAAATGGTCTGAGACAGTCCCCTTCCTTAAATGGATAATGAAGGGACTTTTAAAATCCCTTTCAGGCAAGAATGGGAAAATCTGTCCCTAGCTAAGAAAATGGGAATGTCTCATCTTTGAAAAAAGTAGCTCACTTCTCTGCTTCTTTCAGAGCAGGGTGTGCTCATTTCTAGCAGGGGGCTGGATATTGTAGTCAGCCCAGCTTGCATGCCAGGCCCTTTACTAACAGGCACATCAATCTCTAACTAAGCTTAGTAATAAATTTGGCTGTCCAAATGTGCTAAAGTCTGTTATCTCTCATAGTCAGAAGTTCCCATGGGGCTAGACTGTGACTCAGTCCTCTGGGTAGGGTGGAGGAGAGAGGTGAAGGAAGTGGATTAAAATCTGGATTTATGCTGCTGGTGAAATAAATTTGGCAGAATTGATATGAAGAACAGTGTTTCCCCTACATTCCAGAACAGTGTCTGCCCAAAGGCTGTAGCATATTGGGCTCCTTTCCTTGTGCTTAAGAGGTGTCCTAATGCTGGGCCAGCACTGGCAAACCCTGGCACTGCTGGCATGAGGTACAGCAGAGCTGCCACCAGGCACCAGAAAAACTGAGCTGTCAGAATAACCAGGAAAGCCCTGCAAAGGGATGGCAGCAAAATCCACAAGTGCTTTGAGAAATACATTGCATCTCATCAAGAGCAAGGAGAGAGCTCTTGGCAGAGCATTTTCTTACCAAAAGAAAGAAGCCCAGACCCTCCTGCCCCAACAGTTTACAGAATGGCAGCAGCTCCAGGAACCAGGTTTTGCTGAAGGGCCAAAGCCAAAACCTGCAGCTCCCCTCAAAGCCAGCAAGGCTGTGGAATTGCTGGAGCAGAGCTGCACTTAGCAAGGAAATGGCCACCTCCAGGGTTGGATGGGTTGTAATGTGCTCTCAGCATAGGAGTGAATTGTGGGCATGGGGCCAGGAATGACGGGATGCTATTTTGGCACTGATAGAAAGAAGGTGTCTGGCTCTAACCACTTCTGAGCATTCAATAGCAACACTGTCCAGTGATTGTAGTGCCTGTGAATGGAAGGAGGTCAGATATGTGTGTGCTTTCTCTTTTGGTCTCCCCTCAGACTGGGTTATCAGCGCAGACTAGATGAGGATAAAGTTCTTGTTCTTAATCTCTGTGGAAGATCCTCTCCTTTTAAGGCCCTCAAACTGAAATGTATTTGTTATGTTAATGTCTGTAGGCTTTGAAGGTCAGGCCCCTCGTCCCCTGGGATGCTGGCTAGACAATGCCCCCGTCCCAGCTATCTCCACACAGAGCAGGCAGAATTGGGACAGACTCTGAATGCAGTGTGTTTGTACCCCAGTGGTTTAAGAATAGGCTGCTTTGGGAAGTGCCAAAGGAGTGCTGCCAGGAATTGGCCTCCCTGGCAGTGTCACAGAGGTGCAGTCTGGCTGCAGGGACCTGTCCCTGTGGAAGAGGCAGCGTGGATCCTGAAGTGGGGCAGGGGCAGGGCTTGCAGCCAGGTCTTCCCTGTGACACAGAACACGTGTGGTAAATGGTGGGGCTTTGGGAAGCAGCAGCGCTGCCCTGACACATCCATGTGCTCCCCACCCAGCTGTCAGTGCAGGAGAGGTGTGCATATAGAGGCATGATTATGAGTAACTAATGATCAGGAGTAACTAATGCACAACTGATAGGAAAAAACCATTTCACTGCAGCTTCCCCTGGAAGGAGGTGATAGCTTGGGATCCACAGCAGGGACAGAGCAGAGAGGAAATAGAGCATTGGTTCAGCTCTGGCTGTGAACATGAGGAGGAGGCAGACCAATTCAAGCCTGTGTTTCCTGACTTTGTTACCAAGTCACTCCTCAGCTAACAAACTCTCCTTCTCACAGACTTTTTGCCAAAACTTGGATAAAGATTACTTTTCCCCCTTCTCATTGGAAGTGTTTTCTGCATGGAACAGTTTGGCTGTTAATTTTTTTCCAAAGTAGAATCAGGAGTGACCTGATCAGAGGCTACTGACAACACCCTTCTGTTTCAGATTTTCAGTGTTACCTTTGAACCTGGAAGGAAGGTACTTGTAGCCACCTTATTGATGGAATGAATTCTGGTTAAAAAATAAATGCAGTAACATGACCATGCTCAGAGAAAGTAAGCTTTCTCTGTCCCTCCTCTGTTTCAAAAGCTGTATGAACAGTGAGTAATTTTGCATATAGTAGTAGAAGCTATAAGCTGTGTTGGTATCTGTCAAAGCTGCTGACAACTGCAGCTTCTCAGCCAAACTCATTCCACGCCTGTGGGTGCTTTTAGGTCTGTGTTCAGCCCAAGAGGTCTGTAAAGGAAGCTTTCCAAGGGTGCAGGCAGAGCCCCTAGGCTGTTAAAAGGACATCTAGTTCTCTGCTTTGGGATGTCTTTTGTGTTTTCTCTTGGGGGAGGAGAAACCCCTTAGGCTGGAGTAGCATGTTGGGTAAAGGTGAGCATTGACAGACTCAGCAGCAGGAGCTGTGAGTAACTAATGGGAATCTTCCCCTCTGTGCAGCTGGGATGTGTTTGTTAACTCTGGCTTTGACCTTAGTCCCCTCTAAGTTGTGAATGACTCCTCAACAGCAAAGGGCCCCATGTGCCATTCCTGAAAAACTTGTATTATCTTGTTCAGTGCTTTAAGTACAGGATGCAAAAAAAGATAGCCAAGGGCTTGTATCCTTCCCAGGTTTGTGACAGAGGAGGGAATCCTCTAGTGGAAAATGTCACAATGCAAGTGGTGACACGAAGCTTTGACAGATGGCTTTGTTTTTCATGGGAACTATGTGATACAAATGAAGGGGGCTGACAGCTGTTATCCTATATATGAGACAAATCATGGTGCCTTCTGGGTGCCCAGGCCATGTGATGCTCTCATACTGCTGCAGCCTTTTCCTTCAGCCACTCTTACAAAAGTTTTTGGGCACTGCAGTAAGAGGCACAAGCTGTGTTCTGACTTGAATGAATGGTGTTGCAGAGGGGTAACTTCCTTTTGGGGATTCTGGTGGTTGTTTTGTTCACACCTGTATGGCTTAAATAACGTACACAAACATCATGCTCTGCTGGTGTATTTGAGTTGAAGTTGCTGATATGTGAATGCTGAAGGGTTTAAGGTCCTGCAGACATGCCAGGCATTCACTCTTCTTGCTCAGTCTCTTCTGGGGGGTTTTTAGAACCAGCAAATTGAATCGTGCAAATCTTGCGGGTTGAGATGTTGATGTCTCGGCTTCTCTCTCCCCAGCTGAACCACTGCCTTTGATGGACTTGTGTCGGCGAGCAGTGAGGCTTGCTCTGGGCAAGGAGAGACTGACTGAGATCCCTACACTGCCCCTGCCAGCCTCCCTCAAGAGTTACCTGCTCTACCAATGACCTTCGTGTCCGAGGACAGACAGAGAGCTGGAACCAAGGCAATGCGTCGGAGCTGACCCGCCGAGCAACGGGCTCTCCACCCTCGTGTCATCGCTACTGTTGGGACTCCTCGGCCAAAGTATTCCTGCCACTGCTTAAGCCTCCATGTGCCCTTATTGGGCAAGCTCCCAAGTAATCCTTGTTTCACAGCTGAGTGTTTTGTTCTTTGGAAGTCACTTGCCCCAGCACGCTCACAGAAGCTCTGTGCTTCCCTGCTTCTCCTGAGGAAAGCTGTGCTTTGTCCTTTGGCTTCAAGGGCCTAGGAGTGAAATGATTTGTCTGTACCAGCTAAAGGGAAGGACATGATCTGGGGGAAAGGGGAGGCATTAGGAGTGGGAAGGTCCTAAGAATGGAAAGGCATGAGATGGCCAGCAGAGTTGGAAAGAGTCTGGAATACCAAGAGGAATTAATTGCTGAGATTTTAAAAACCAAAAAAAAAAAAAAAAAAAAAATAGGTACAACCCCAAGCCTTGAAACACCAAAACTAAAACCCTTCCACCAGGCCACTTGTTAATTTGGAGAAGGAGGTTGTGTTGCTGATGTCTGTATCTCTGCTGGGACGTCTCACCATGTTCTAGTGCTGTTTCCCAGATCATGAGTTCCATGTTCCATGTTCGTGTTTATCACCAGCTCTTTCTCCTGCTCCATTCTCTGCTCTGACTCTTCTTAGTGGGTTTGACTCAGTGGATTGGCACAGACTCACTGGGTGTGATTTCTAACCTGTTCCATGGTAAAGCTTTAGAGGAACAGACTGATGTGCTTCTCTAATGGCTCTGCCAGGGAATTCTCAGATAAGCTGCTTAAATTCATCCAAACCAGGCTTTGTTCTGTCCTAGACCATTGGCATAATCTCCACTTAACTATGCAGCAGGAATAGTTCTCTCTGTTCCTTCCTTGGGGGTGGGAAGTTGTCCCAGAGAAGGTGGTTCCAGTGTGGGCTGCAGAAGAACCATCAGCAGATGAGAAATCCAGGAGGTGGTTGCTGCAGAATGTCACTTGTGAGACCTTGACAGAGGCCAGTGAGGTGATCTCCAGGCACAGCAAGAACAAACTAAACCTCTCCAGAGCTGGGGGGCAGGAGAGAACTGCAATAAACAGGACTAGCAATTCAGGCAAAATCAGCACATCCCAAATAGATCCTCACCTCAGTAGCCAAGTAAAGAGGATGACACTCCTTTACTACCAGGAGCTGCTCTCTTGACCTCTCCACAGGTTACTATGCTGCCTTTCTGGGGTTATTTTGCACATTTCTTTGTCTTGAAAAAAATGTTTGTATGGTTGGTTTTTTTTTTTTGTTTGTTTTGCTCTTGAGTTATTCCTTCAGTTCTGTGTAGGTACAAATGAGTTTAGTTGTTAAAAATGTTAATATATATATTTGTGGTGTATGTATAAGAACATGTTTTAAACAGCTGCTGTAGGGTACCTTTTTTAAAATAAACTACTTGCATAGTATATTTTTTAAAGCACGGAATTGGTGCCAAGACTGGGTGGGGTGTGATGTGCCCCTTTTTTATTCTAATATTATATGATTTGTGTTTTTTTCAACGTAGGGGTTTGTACTAGTTTCTGTTGCAAGGTGGGACACAGGAAAATTCAGTGTGTGTGTGTGTGGAGCCCTACTTGGTTGCCTTCAACTCGAACCAGTGTCTTCCAGAACTCCAGGGAAGTAGCTGTGTTCTCCCTACTCCTAATGCTCTTTGTGCTCCCACGTTTCCCTCTCTTCTCACTTCACCAGGACGTTACTTTGTACAGTTTTAAATTCTGGCTATTTTATGACTGTAGATAATACTCAGTAACCTAATAAACTTTATTAAATATTACTTGGTGGTGGTTTTTATTCAGATTTCTTTATGCTTGGTTTCTACATGAACAGTGAGCTTATTGCCAGGAAGCCTGCCCAGGCAGGCAAAGCAAGGGCTCTTGTGGCCTTGTCTCTGCTTGGAAGGAAAACAATTTAAAGGCATCTAAAAGGTGTGTACAGATGGAGGGCAAGGTGCATTGGTACGGGATGGTAAGGTGTGGGAACCTGAGATTTGTGTGCAGTTGCCACTGTTGCCTAAAAGATGGAGTTTGTTACAGTCCATGACGGGACAGCAGCCTTGGGTTCCTGATTTCACTTGGTTTACAGCTGATTTATTACACCATACTCCTTTTTCTATTCAATGTAAAATAGATTCAATAGAGCTTCCCTCCTACATTACAGCAAGTCACTTCTCTTCTTTCAGAAAAGAGGTTAATAAGCAAATCACTGACTTCCTACTTCATGCTGATACCTGACTGTCATTTTTCTTAGGGAGGTGGTGGCTTGAAGAAAACAAAATAAAATGGTGAGGGCTGGAGGGGATCCCTGGCCAGAAGAACAGCACAGTTAATTCCAGAAGGTGCTGTGGAAGGTTAAGCTTGACTGTTGGGAGTCATTCCTGTGTGCTTGAAAAATGGCTGATGGATTTCAGTGTGTTCTCAGAAACTTCCCCTGGTCATGAACTTGATTCAGCTCATGTTACTTGGTGTTGCTTTTCAGTCACTCCCGACCCACTGCTGTAAGTTGCTCTGTTTTCATGTGTTTTGGGATCTGTCTGCATAAGAGACTTCATTCCTGGGCTGTGGGGAGATATGGATTATTTTGTTTGTGGAATACAACCTGTTTGCTTGCTGGTTGTGCCTTCAGCCTCCTCCACCTGCAGCCTGTGCAATGCAGAGACGCTCTTCAATTGTGCCAGCAGTGAGGTTGCTGCAGGTAGTGGAGGACCTCAGTGAAACACTTCTTTTTGCCTGTGTCTGACCAAGAGCAGCTTCCCTTTTACCTTGCAGTGGAAGGCTGCTGGTGTGTCACTGGGAATGTGGCTGGAGGGGTGCTGGGACAGCCACAGGCTGGGAGGGTGCAGAAGGTGGGGCGGGTGCAGAAAACTGAGAAATTAGTTCATGCTCAGCTCCAGACACCCAAACAGGCTTGTGTTCCAGCTGCATGGAATATTTGAAACAAATGACCTGCTCAGGGCTGGGAGTCTGCAGTGTTTATGTACAGTGCCATGGCAACAGTGGAGGAAGTCATGAGATGGGGATTGGACCTGATGGAATCAACAAATGATATCACAGATTAGCAAGTCCTAATAAATCAGTGGCTCTCTACTCCCCTGCTATTTAGTGCCTGTGTCCAAGCACTGGCACCGGGGCAGGAAGATCTCTGCCTTTTTGAGGAGCAGTAAAAACTGCAAGCCCTGCTTGTGTCAGGACTGCCTTGAAAAGCAGCCCTGTTCCACTGGCCAGCATCTCGTCCTCCTGCTGCTGCTGACTCATCACATTTACGCACATGGAACCATTCCTACATTTTATAGGAGGCTTCTGGCCTTGACAGTTTGCCTGCTGCTGCCTTGCCTGTGCTGCAGCAGTGCTGGGACAGTTCTGCAGAGAACCCTGGTGCTCTAGACAAGCAGGGGAGTAGCTTTTGGTTCTTGCTGGAGGCCGAGTCTCGAAAAGTGTGCTGGAGGGGAAGTGTTCAGTGGAGGAGTTGATAAGCAAGCACGTCGTGCTCCTTTGATAAAGGGAAGCCTGTACTGGGTGCAGGTGACATCCCTGCACACCTCTGTGCCAGCCAATATCCCTACTGTGGATCTTCAGCAAAGCTGTGCTAATGTCAGGACAGAAAAACTTGGAGGGAGGGAGAGGACAGTTGCCAATTCTCCCCTTTATCTGCAGAATGGAGAAATTATTTCTGAGCTCAACCAAGTTCCCTGCTGGAGCCCAGCTGCCAGTCTGTACCTGTCACACCCTTTGCCAGAACCGAGGCAGTTTTCCCTTTCCCTGTGCCTGAGATGTGCCAACTCAAAGGGATGTGCGTCATGCTTTTAAGAACTTATTTTGGCAGTCACACCTTCTCTCCTGCATCAGGTAAGACAATTATGAGAAACATTTCCTAGCCCGCTGCCCCTCTTCTCTGCACATGCTTCCTATGCAGAGCTAATGCTGTTGATCTCGTGCCAAAGACTAAGTTGTATCTGACTGGAGGAGGAAATACATAGTGATTTATTTATATAAGTTTATTAAAATTAAAACTTAACCCAAAGCACAGCCTTTCTTGGTTTACAAGACAGTGCTGAGGGGGAACAAAACTCATTCAGTGCTCGCACAAAACGCACTGGAGCACTGATCCTGCCTTTTGCACATGTTTTGGTTCGAAACTATTGCAGGCTTGTCTGCCCTTCAGACAGAAAACTATTTGAGGCAGCTGCCAGATGTTTTGTCTGCCCTGTGTGTTACAGTTTGCTTGCTGCTGAGCAATGCTCTTCCCATCGGGTGCTCGAGCTGCCCTCGGGAATTCTGCTCCGGTGGCACCTCCGTGCTGGTTTTCCCCCCTCCTTTGCCCTGGTCACGTTCACACGGGGCAGATACAAATCTGAGTGTTTTACTGCTCAGTGCAATCTGCTGGCCTTGTCTGGGACCTTCTCTGGGACTAGCACAGACCAGCCACATTCCTCTGCTCACATGTTGCCACAGTGTATAAAAGTTAAGGTGATTTACAGTCTCTTATAAAAGCACTCGGGGCCGGAATTTAGGCCCTGCTGAACAGCCTTACCCTGAACACCCACAGTTCAGGGCCTGGGCAGCCTCGTTGACTGGCTGGAACTCAGAGCCGAGTTATAAATCTTTTTCCCCCCTATAAATTCTCAAACACACTAAAGTGGGGCAAGGACCTTTGTGTTTTTTTCGAGAACTGTGATAAATTTGACTCAATCAGAAGATGTACCTGCTAGCAGGGATAGCTTGAGAATTCCTGTGTGTTTGCCTGGCCCTTTCACGTGTTGTTTGTGTAAAATACATGTTGTTTGTGTAAAATACATGTTGTTTGTGTAAAATACACGTTATTTGTGTGAAATTTCTCAGCTGGGAGCAGTCTCCTAGGCCATCGTGTTTAGAAGCATAAGCCCTTGGCTTTCTGTGCTTCTGCACCACTCGTAGTCCTGCCAAACCTCATCTGTACATCTTAGGGCAGAGTCCTGGTTAAAAGGGGTTTAACCTGCCATTTTTCACCTTGCTCAGGCTTCCATCTTTTAGTAATGAGAGGGCTCGTGCCCACACTTTTTGGGCACACATTGCATTTGCCTCTAACACCATCTATGACTGTTCTGCAGTCAGCAGCTTCTGGCCCAGGGTGTGCAATGGTGACATAGGCCAAGAAATAAGTGCTACTTCTGGCTACCCTGCTCCATAGCACCTTGTTTGTCCTGGGGAGCCCCATAAATGCCTGTTCTTACCAGAGTCTGTCACTGTTCCCTCTCACAACCTCTTGTTAAGCCATTAACTCTTATTTAGGAGCACCTAACAAAGTTTTACTGTCTAAAACCAGCATAAGCAAACAGGCTCTCCACCTGATTATTATAAAGGTTACATGGGCAGGCAAGAAACACCTGCCTAAGCTGGAGTCTCATAGGACACAGGTGTTGATATTTTTTTTTTTTCCTTTTATGAAAAAATACTGAGGGTTTCCCTCAGTGGAAATGGGTCTGAACTCTCTGTTCTCTCGCTTTTCCCGAAACAGGACCTTTGGGAGTGCAGAACTTTCTCATAGGCTGCAGGTAAAAATGCCATCTACTGAACCAGTAACTTAATTTCCTGCAACTGGCTGGATGTTTTCTTTGGAAGAGGACCACCTAATATTGATAAGGTCTGTTCCCACTTAATCTGAGGTCCAGCAGAGAGGCTTGAGAAGTAACAGCTGTTAGTCCTAAATATGATGTGTATTTTTCAAACTGTCTAGACACCTGGGTGGGTTGCACACGCATTACCAGCAAAGCTAGTTAATCATGTCAAACGTTTTCTTTCTCTAAAGGTTTGTTTTGTTTAATGAGCTATATGGAAACCCAGGGGAAGACGGTGAATCAAGCAGACAAGTGAGGAAATTTGATCACTAAGGCTGACACTTGGACATTTTTCATTCTGACCTGGGATAGACAATGCATTTCAGGAGTTCAGGAGTTATTGGCTGTGGTGTTTGATAACACCACTGACACAGTAAACCCTTAAAGCAGTGAGCTGGGTGGATGTTTCACGTGTGCTCTCTGTGAAATGCCGTTAAATGAAAACTGACTGAAGCCGTGCTGCACGATAGGAAGTTACAGCAGTGAAAATCACATTTACAGAATGCCAGAAATTTAAGTTTACAATTGATTTTGTAAAGGAAAGCCTAGAAGAAGGAGCACTCAGGGTCCTTATGCTGCATCCTACTTGGATAAATACAAATGTTTTCAATTAATGTTCTTAGGGATGCCAGCTACCTACTCCAAAGTAAAGTGCTGCGCGATAAGATCCTTTTTATTGGGAAGGAAAGAAGGTGATTCTTCATATGCAGTCTGACAGTTTTATTTGCAGTTTGAAAAATAGTCAGAAAAACGCAAATAAGCCTGAAGTTTAAAGGGGTGAGAGACATTTCTGGACAGGAACCCACCCTGAGAAGCTGCATCCTGGACTTCAGACACCCTCGAGGTGGACGTGCAGATCCGCAGGCACGTGGATCCTGGAGGGTGCCTGACATTTACAGTAGAGATTTGTGGCACACAAGAGCTGTGTTTTCTTGTGTTTGTGTTTGCTGACTACGTTTTAAGCTTCATGATCAAGATCAACCGTGGCCTTCAATAGAATCAAGCTGTTCTCCTCTTTCAGGTTGCCTGGCACTGGCACTGCTCACAAGAACTTTTCAGTAAGCACAAGGCGTGTGTCTCTCTCTACAAACAGCAAATGCAAATAGAACAATGCTATGGTCGAACAGGTGGAATGTTTGCAACATAAACAAGCATAAGAATCCCAAGACAAGCTATGATGCATT